ACAAATATATTAAATAAGAACAATTCTTTTTTTCAAATTTTAACAGGTTGCGGTGCAGGAGAAACCATCTTTATTCCCAGAATTCCCATAATACCAAATAATTTTCCATTCCAATTTAAAAGAACGCAATTCCCAGTATCGGTGTGTTATGCAATGACAATAAATAAGGCTCAAGGGCAGACTTTTCGTGTTGCTGGAGTAGATCTCAGTGTCAGTTGTTTTTCACATGGTCAGTTATGACGCTCTTTCCCGGGTTAGCAGTCCTAGAAATTTTTATATTCACGTGCCGGACGGGTCAACTTTCAACGTAGTTTACCCGGAAGCTTTGCGCTGAAGTATTTTCATTCCATATGTACTTAAGCCTCATGTAAAAGCAATCTAATATTACCAATTAATTAACATAATAACATACAAGGAGTTACACGCTGATGGTCTCGGGGCACAGTGATAATAATAATATTCTGCGGTTCCTTATTGCGTTATTTTTAACAGTATTGTGGATTGACATATTATATTTCCCTACTGAAATACGAAAGTTAATCTGTCTGTCACATCAAAACCACGGAACCCTGAGGAAGGACATATGCTACTTTTTTACGAAAATCGACGAAAACGCTGACGAAGTCGCGGGCAAAAGCTAGTCATAATATATAATAGTAATATAATAAGTATGTAGTATACTCATTAACTTCGTAGTATCTAATTTAAGCATAAATCTGCTCGATTTATAAATCGAAGCTAAAAAAATACTAAATAAATTCTACTGAAACCTTGACCGACTTTTTCCTAGGGAAAAAGTATCTGTAAAATTTTATAAAATTTTCTTCCTATGTGTCGTGGCTATTCGTACTCACATCCCTACTTTCTAAGGTAACCACAGAAGACTAGCGTCGGACAGTCTACGACATCCGACACATGCTGGATGGGCTGCCTTTTTAGTGACGCAAATGTTTAGACTTATTATTGTATTTATTTATAAGGTATATAGTTTCATCTATTAATTTGTGTCACTGAATAAAACATTTTATTTCTATGCCTCATCTACATCGCTTCAGCGGTTCATTCATAAAAATATAACAGGCAGACATACACTGAATACACTTTTGCATTTAGAATTTAGTATAAATGGATTTTTTATTGTACAAAGTGCAGCAAATTAACCTACTTTAAGTAATTGTAAATGTAAGTTTAGTTTAGTTTGCCCCATGGTGGTCCTCTCGGACATGTGAGACTTTCCCAGACGATCCTCTATAGGAGTTTCTCTCGTCTCTTTCATAAAGACACAGTTTTTTAAAAAAAATCGATATGGCTTGTCCGTTTCTTATGAAATTGTTTGTGTATATTCAGTAGGTCTAAGAATAGGACGTAAACTATATTGGAACAAATCGCTGATTAGCGAGAAGCCCTTTGTGCAACTATGATTAATAAATAAAATAAATAAATAAATATTTCCAACACTCACACCAATTAGCCTAGCCCCAAAGTAAGCACTATAAGGCTCTTGTTATGGGATACTAGGGTAACGGATAGAATACATATACTGTACAATTAAAAGTATATTTTTAAAGAAATATATATGAAAATCCATGACTGGAGTATAAATACTCGTATTCATCACACAAAAATCTGCCCCCACTGGGATTCATACCCGGGATTCGGCGACACCATGAAACCCGGCGTACAAACCACTCGGCCACGGAGGTCGTCGTTTGTTCTTGCCTTGTTTTGTATTTTGTGTTATTTATGTTATTCTTGTGCAATAAAATGTTTTTATTTTATTATCTTATCTTATCTTTTTTTGATACCCCTTAGTGATAAGGATGGTCAACCCCAATATATATTTCTAATTTTTGGCCAATATTTTTAGCTTTCCACCACCCATCTTTATGGCTGTACGAAGTTCGCTGGGTCAGCTAGTTTTATATACAATTTTTACATTACGATTCCCCTCTATTTGATGTATAGTGACAGTGAATGAAACAACAATTTAAATAATACTCAATCGTTTATTTTTCAGTACATTCAAAGCATTGCCATGTGCCTTTACTTAATCTATTCTTAACAATATGTACATCTTAATGAAAATTGATTCGTCGTTCTTAACACCATAATGCGGTAACAAGGATATACACATATTTATTTATCTTCTTGTAAAATAATCCTTTATTGGAAGAGTGCAAAGTACAAATTCACTTGTTGCCGCGATATTTGAGGACTTGGTTCACATTTTCGATCGTCGTTTAATCACGTCATGTGTCTACCAATATAGATAAGGCCAAGCGATTTGTTAAGCTAGCTGTGGCACATTTCATATGTGCTGTGCTGTCAGCTTTGAATATTTTCTGTATCCGAGTACTGAAGGAACATGCTTTTAGACATATAAATGACTGTGACAATATACATGTGTACGCAACTTACAACTATCATTGATATTAGATATGAAAATTAAATTTTCTCATAGTCAGAGAAGTTCTTCAGTCCCTGGTGTTAAGGTACCGCTTTTCATGTTAAGAAAATATCACTTTAAAATATTAATATTAATCTAGAAGATAAACGCTTAAAAAAATATTATATTGTTACAGGAAGAGGCACAGCTGAATATAACATCAAAGTAATACCAAAAGTTGAACTCTATGAATGAATATTTATTCATTCGTACTTAATTTCTAAAAACTTAAATTACATTTATGTATGTAACAAAAGAAATTAACAGGTTTAGAATATTCAAAACCCATATTTACATAAATGTAGCTAGAAGTCTTACACAGCAAAATGCCATCGTAGGCGGTCTGGTAAATGTCAACATTCATATTAAAAGCATGGAGATTGGCTGAAACTAATAATTAAGTTTATTAAAATAGACAACACTGTCAAATATCGAGTTTATACCTTATATATTTCAAAGCCGACATCACAGTAATTATAGTTACATACTACTAATGCTAGCGTAAAAACTTTGTGTACATTCTTAAAACGTTATCCGCAACCGTTGACAAAAATATATTCTCATTTCATTCTCCTACAAATAGTTTTAAAATTAGTTATATCTATCTAAAGTTCGTACAAATCGGAGTTCCATTATTAACTTATCTAATAAATTATACCGAATCAAATGTAAATGTGCCTGCCACTGAAATATTTTCATTAATACAACATGCATAGCTCACTGACAGCTGTGCGGATTGGCCAGAATCAATTTTAAATAAAGTAGTAATTTAAGTAAAATCAAATGTTAATACAAACTTGTTGTGAATTTCCTTTTCGAATTTGTAATTATACCAAACTCTCCACGGTAATGCTACAAAATATTGAAATGAATGAACAAAAGTTAATTTGTTCCCATGAAATTATTGTTTAATCCTTTGATGGAAAAGAATCGATTATCCGCATCATGGTTCTTGGGACAAGAAAGACCTGATACAATTGGATGAAATTTAAATATCCAACTATGTGACAGTTTGCCTTAACTAATTTAACTTCGCGATATTGTCGGCATTTACAACTAATGTTTCAGAGATCATCAAACTAATGGCGCAAGCATAACGTTGACCACATCAACCGCTCGGCTTGGAGAAGGAATCGCCACCAAAAAACATATATATAGAAAAGATTAAATCTATTGATCAAATATATATATTGCACCTATTACCGATAAAACAAATGATTTAAAATAATAATTATTCTTAAGAACTTTGGCTTGATTATAAAAAAAATCAAGCTTTCAATTCACAATACGCATAAAATGATTGAAGAAAACAAGAATCTCAAGAATGTTATTGAATTAGTGACAGTATTGGTTGATATGATGATATCGCCACAAATCTTTAAATAAAACATAAGACCATTACCGCATTATTTTATCATATTGGGTGTAGGTTTTGGTAAATAACTAAAAACAGAACTATTCTGAAAAATATGTGGCTCTATACTTAAATTATCAAATATATAAGGCATGTCATTGGAAACCAGGATTATCTATACTAATAATATAAAGCTGCAGAGTTTGTTTGTTTGTTTGTTTGAACGCGCTAATCTCTGGAACTACTAGTCCGATTTGAATGATTCTTTCAGTATTGGGTAGTTCATTTATCGAGGAAGACTATAGGCTATAAATTAGGGTTCCGCAATAAAATTGCTTTTTTGTAACACAAGGTGTAAAATCGAAAACCTATTTTTGCGTGCGCTGCAAAAACTATTGATAATAGAACAAAATGATGTACTACGGGTTTTGTAGATCCCATTAAGAAATACAAAAAATCCGCGAGAAAATATATCTAGCTATCAGGGTTTAATCACAATAACCGATTTTGTGTTCAAAATAATTATTAAATCATCTGAAGAAAAAAAAACTACGTTAAATATGTATCGTAATATTAATCTTTATCGAAATTAAGCATTATGTTATCAAGAGTATTTATGTAGAAGTAAAATACTTTTTGTTGCATCTCAATCGGATATTTCGTTTAAAAGTTATCACGTGTGTAAGATGTTAAGAGTTGGTACCTATTAATGAGATATGGGCCATAGAGTTTTTTATCAACATAAAATCCTGTAATAATCTTATTCGAAATATATTTGTTGATGATTGTAAGTATAAGATCTTTGAAGAGTATAATAAATACAGTTCTAAAATAACTCTGCTAAGGAAATCCACGCGCGCTTGATGCAAGCAAGACAAGACGCTGGCGGCGCGGCGGAGCTTGCTGGCCGCCTGTCGCTCTTATTTAGGATGGTTTCACAGCTATAGCGGGAGACCCGTACGGGCTGTCAGTACGGGCGAACGGAGCGGGAGCACATGTTAGGCGCTAGAACATCGTTTCACAGCGACGCGGATTGGTGCGCCTAACATGTGCTCCCGCTCCGGACGCCCGTACGGGTCTCCCGGATAGCTGTGAAACCAGGTTTATTGAAAGAAATTGAAAAAAATATTTTATTGAAAGTATGACTGTACACGGTCTAAGGGTGCACTAAGAAAGGAACCCCCCCCCCCCCCTCACCCCCGAAGGGTTTCAAATAGGGGTTTTAGGTTTTAATGAAAGGTTGTATGAAAAATCTTATTCCTTGGGTAAACTAAGAGACTTAAAACTTGACTCAAATACAAACCGTAAATAGACTGAGAAAAATCAGATTGTATAAACAATAGGCTACTTAAAATTACTAATTCCATGCGTACGAAGTCGCGGGCAACAACAAGTATTTTATAAAAATTTAAAAGCTGAAACATTAAAAAAATAATGGCTTCGTTTTTTGTGGCTATTCCTCCCTTGTAACAAAATCAGACGATCACTCTTAAATATCACACCCTTTCATAATAGCTAAAATGTCTTCAATAAAATATGTTCGGCCAGCGGTGGTGCCATTTTAGGCATTACACTTTTGCTTTTAGCGTCGTCTTTCCTATGCAAACACTTTTTCTCTTTGAGTCCGATCTCAGATTTATTATGAGTAGTCTTTATTTGAGATGATATCGACAAGTTTCGCCTTTTGGTCCCGCACGATTTCATTTCACATTCACTATTGTCACGTTTAGCACTTTTAGGTTCTATGGTTTTTGCCTCCGGTGCGTTGTCTGATTGCTGTGGCATAGACAGTCTTGTGTGGTCGAAACACTTCGTTGATTTCTGTGAACAATTAATATAATAAGTCAATCGGTATTGGAATTTCGAATAGTTGTGTCACCTACAAGAAATAGTATCATAGCCACTCTCGGATAATTATAAATGGCACTCTTACAATAAAATTCGTAATCGGACTTGACTGGAAATTGACTCTTTTGGGGAGTAGCTTCTACAAAATGCGATGAAAATTATCTACGAATTAGTTCTTATTTTCATTCTAGGTATAGCATTATTTCAAGTAAATTACAGTTCCTTTACTGTTACTTATATTAAGATCACGATCTTCTTTGATGTCTATCTAATTTGTATTTAATTTTTACTCAAATTTAAAACTCACAATAGGATTAACAGCTTTGGAGTATATCTGGACTCGACCTTCGAGCTCCATCTTCAGTCTCCAGTCGCGGAGATACATGTGAGCGGCGGCCGCACTAGGCCAGCCACGGCGCCATGTGTGCCATCTTCATTCCAAAAATTGCAATTAACATAGAAAATAAGACAACACTATAGTACTTTATGACTCGCTCACCAAAATTCTAACATCAAATTTAAAACTCCCGCCTTATCACAAAACGAGAAGAAAGACTTAAGTTAAACCTGGACTAAAACTGATGCTGTCACTTTTGTTTGCTAAAACGAAGACAGAGACAACATTAGGTTTAAACCAAGACTAACTTCAGTCCGCATTTTGAAAAAAGGGGATATCATGTTTGATACTTGTTTTGTCTTTATTTCACTTAATACAATTGACAAAAGATAGAACGATGTGTTAAACAGGATTAAGCCTTAATTAGAATTAAAATTTTTGGAGCAAGTATTACTCCAAGATGATATAGAAACAAAAGAAAAACATTAAATGAAATTCCCTACTGCCTTACCTCTGTCTTCAGACAGAAAGAGTTTGGTGACGGCTTAATAAATTATGTTCTTACAACTAGCTGAACTATTACAAGACACTCCTTTACGAGTAGGTACTAATAGAAAGTATGATATTGGATCATGAATAGTTAAACTAATAAACTCTTTAAGCATTATCTTAGTATTTGATACCAACAACTACCTCGTTAGAAGTTGCAACGTCCTGGACTTTTGCCCTAACAAGCGATACATTAAGGCTGTAGCACGAAACGAGAGCAGATCCTCGCCGCCATGCTTATCTACGTTGCGGTATCGAAAGCTGAGCCTTAGCGCTTCCAGATAGTACTTAGATGCGGGTAGAGGAAGTCCTGAAATTTAGGAGAAAGTTATGTTTATTTATTTATTTATTAAAAATAACTGCAGCCAATTTATATGAACATTAAGTGTTAAGGTTACATATAAAAAAAATGAAGATGTAAAGAAAATATTTACTAGAATAATTGCGAATACATAAATAATACCTACCGAGATCTCAACACATTCATAAAATTCGCTCTCGTATACCTTAGGTTGCAAGGCAGCGCTGTCTTCAATTGTATCGGAATGTATTCTGGTAAATATTTTGGAAGAGTATAGCAGTTTGATGTGTTTAGGTCCAAATTTTATTAGTGTTCCACGCACTTCCGGAAACATAGACTTTACTTGCCAAAAGTAAAGCCCATGTTTTCGGAAGTGCGTGTAATCATTTACTACACTTTTTTTGTCTTACTCTACATTGGGTAAGCTTTTATTTCCTTTAACAGTCAGCGATACATTTATTTGTAATAGTTCAATAGTAGGTTTGAACCAAAGTATTTTTATTAATTCATAGCCTAAAACTTCGCGTCTTATGGTAAGTATCTACACGATATAGAGAATTTTCACGTATGCATACTACCTCTTACTGTAATTATCCTATGCCGAATAAATGATTTTTTATTAGATTTGAATTAAGCCAACGATATTAATAGTATTCAGCTAAATCTTTTTATTAACCATCTCACCTTTAGTCTTCAACCAGTCACCGAACAGCACGAAGTGTTCCCAGTTGTTTGGGTCCAAGTCCACGAGTTTGGTCAGGATCCTATGCTTCTCCACTTCTGGCTTCAAAGTCAGAAGCTCCACGTAGGCCTGGACGAACTGCGGCTGCAGCCAGACGCATTTCTCCAGCATCGTAACTGCTTGAATCGTTCGGCCAGTTTTCCTGGGAAATGGTTCTTAGTAGTTATCAAAATTCTTTGTTATTATCAATCGATCAAAAAGACCCTGTGGCTAATTGGAATTCTTCTATGGGATTGCATATAAAGAGGTAGGTATATCTATAATCAATCATATATATTTCATTGATTCCCGTGCATACGGGTTTGCTACAATAATTTTCGTAAATAAGGTATCTAAAGAAGTCATAATAATAAGAAGAAAGCGCATGATAAAAATATTATTTGACACAACATTAAAAACAATTTTTATGCATAGTCACGGCGCAGCTGGGGCGTAAATAAAATTGCGTAATAACCATTTTGTTCAAAAAAGTTTGCTCCCAAACTTTGACTTACAGCCGAGATTATTTTTAATTACTCTTGCTTACTTGTAGAGTTTCCCAAGGTTGTAGTGCGCATTCACGTGGTACTTATTGAACTTGATCGCTTGGAGGAAGTGGTGCTCTGCGTTCTCAGACCTTGACACCAGGGTCCCGATGTTATTGTGTGCACTGGCATAACTGGGCCATAGTCTGCCCGTGAAAAAACAAAAAAAAATGGTAACAAAACAAAAAAGTTTCATAATAAATTATAATACATTTCGCTATGTTAATATCTGCCTAGGAAGAATTTCGTAGTTTGGCTTAAAATGACATATTCTTTATGTAAAATATTAGTCTTGGTGTAAATGGTCTTTTAAGAATATTACTTTCTCTACGTACTGCTTTTTTGCATAAAAGTTATCTTCTGTATTAATCTAAATATATAAAAGAAGAAACTCACTGACATATCAACGCACAGCCGAAAGCACTAGATCTAGATACTCCAAATTTGGCACGTAGGTTCTTTATGTGGTTTAAGGGTGCACTAAGAAAGGATTTTCCAAAACTGACCCACTAAAGAGGTAAAACGAGGGTTCAAAGTTTGTATGTTAAATCAATATTTCCACGCAGACAAATTTGAGGGCATCTACTCGTTATTAATATATCAGTACCTATACCTACAATGTCATCAGAAATAATTTCTAAAAACTAAACTAATACAATAGCTTATATTGTTCAAGCCTGGACTTTTGACGACAATTTGGCAACGTTGCAACGAATAATTTAATCACAAACTCAAAACGGCCAATTTCTAAAATTTTGCTACATAGTAAGCAAAGGCACGGCAGACTCGCGACGCGTTTCAGCCCCGGCCGCCTTTTGTTACCTGAGTGCCTCTTTGTAATGTTTGATAGCGCTCTCCTGCTGTTCAGTTTCGCGGAGGAAGTTGCCTAAGTTGTAGTGCAGTTTAGCGTTTTGCGGCAAAGTCGCCAGATCCGCCCTGGAACAAACAAAACACATTTGAGGTAATTTACACGCGAATGCGGCGACCGTAAGGTGTATATTGCGCAATGTAAATCGTGGCGAGCGAATGTATCATGTTGAAAATATCTCGCAAGAGAATATGTGGTGGTATTAAAAATTTTGAATGTGCTGAAGTGACTTAAATATTTTTGCAGAGCTTTAACACTTGTGAATAAATGGTTTTTGTTTTATAATTAGACGAAGACATTGCAATGCTAATAGCTATATAAACAAAAGCTTTTTCTATAAAATCAATTTCGAGAAGTAGTTAGTTTCTCTGTATATAAATGTCATATGGGAAATCTTTGCTTACTAAATTTTCGGCTTCTATAAGATTTTGTAATTTATATAAAATAATAAAATTACTTAATACAGTAAAAACTCAAACGAAAGTAATAAATCATTGCTGACACTTCCCTATCGAATCAAACGGATCGATTCTGAACCTACAGAGTCAGGGATATTTTAAGATCAGGAAAAATAAGCATTACCTTTTTTTATAAAAAGTCAAATGTGGAGTCCAGGCGCGAAGATTCATATCATCCTCCCTCCGTGACGCGAGTGGTATGTACGTGTCGAAGACCTCCGTGACGCGAGTGGTATGTACGTGTCGCCTACTCAGAGGTCCCGGTTTCGAATCCCGATGGAGCAAATGTAAGTATGATAAGTTCGAGCATTTGCACCTAAGTAATGGATGAGTGGTATGTACGTGTCGCCTACTCAGAGGTCCCGGTTTCGAATCCCGATGGAGCAAATGTAAGTATGATAAGTTCGAGCATTTGCACCTAAGTAATGGATGTTTATATAAATTTCTAGATAAATTTATGTATCATATCTATGTATCTGTATATCTATGCTATCCAATACCCTAATAACCTATTACACAAGCCTTACAGTACTTATTTTGGGGCTAGGCTAATTGGTGTGAGTGTTATAAATATCTTTTTAATATTTATGTATCTACTAACCTGAGTAGCGTCGCTCGATCGCGCCAATCAGCGTTTCTCCGGTGCGTTCTGGCTACGCCACTAGCAGCAAGTATTGCAAGGCCGACCACTAGAAAGGCCTTGGTACCAGGCTTAGAGTACCACATCAGCTGGACACCGTACGCTGTGATGATCACACTGCCCACGCTACAGGCAAAATGTTTAGACTTCAATGTGTCTCAATCATCAGTTCAATCAAATATCAAATCAATTCTAACTTAATCTATACTAATAATATAAAGCTGCAGAGTTTGTTTGTTTGTTTGTTTGAACGCGCTAATCTCTGGAACTACTGGTCCGATTTGAATGATTGTTTCAGTGTTTTCAAAATTAGGGTTCCGTAATAAAATTGCTTTTTTGTAACACAAGGTGTAAAATCGAAAACCTATTTTTGAGTTCGCTGCAAAAACTATTGACAATAGAACAAAATGATGCACTACGGGTTTGTAGATCCCATTAAGACCTACAAAAAAATCTGCGAGAAAATATATCTAGCTATCAGGGTTTAATCACAATAACCGATTTTGTGTTCAAAATAATTATTAAATCGTCTGAAGAAAAAAAAACTACGTCAAATATGTATCGTAATATTAATCTTTATCGAAATTAAGCATTATGTTATCAAGAGTATTTATGTAGAAGTAAAAAACTTTTTGTTTCATCTCAATCGGATATTTCGTTTAAAAGTTATCACGTGTGTAAGATGTTAAGAGTTGGTACCTATTAATGAGATATGGGCCATAGAGTTTTTTATCAACGTAAAATCCTGTAATAATCTTTTTCGAAATATATTTGTTGTTGATTGTAAGTATGAGATCTTTGAAGAGTATAATAAATACATTTCTAAAATAACTCTGCTAAGGAAATCCACGCGCGCTTGATGCAAGCAAGACAAGACGGTGGCGGCGCGGCGGCGGGCGAAACGAGGAGGCGGAGCTTGCTGGCCGCCTGTCGCTCTTATTTAGGCTGGTTTCACAGCTATCCGGGAGACCAGTACGGGCTGTCAGTACGGGCGCCCGGAGCGGGAGCACATGTTAGGCACTAGAACATCGTTTCACAGCGACGCGGATTGGTGCGCCTAACATGTGCTCCCGCTCCGGACGCCCGTACGGGTCTCCCGGATAGCTGTGAAACCAGCCTTATTGAAGGAAATTGAAAAAAATATTTTATTGAAAGTATGACAGTACACGGTCTAAGGGTGCACTAAAAAGGACCCCAATCCTCACCCCCCCCCCCCCCCCCCCCCGAAGGGTTTCAAATAGGGGTTTTAGGTTTTAATGAAAGGTTGTATGAAAAATCTTATTCCTTGGGTAAACTAAGAGACTTAAAACTTGACTCAAATACAAACCGTAAACAGACTGAGAAAAATCAGATTGTATAAACAATAGGCTACTTAAAATTACTAATTCCACGCGTACGAAGTCGCGGGCAACAGTTAGTACGATATAGCTTTGTACTAGGTGTTGAAGCAAATTATATGAACATTATTGAGAATAATTTGTATTTGTAAATCCAATTCGTATATCATAAATGTCTAAGTTCCTCTATTTAAATAACTACCTTCTTGTTTAGGGCTGAACCAATTTGATAATATTTCCTTTGTTTCTCTTCTTTTACATAAATAAAAGTTGAAAGGGGTGTTAATACGGGATTACCGTTCAAAAGGGGTAATAAATTCTACGCTTACAAAATCATTGTCACCAAAAAGTCAATTACCTACACGAGAATAGGTAATTTATTGACTAATCTCTCTGAAATACACTTGACCGAGCCAATGTCTGCGCGAGACTACTTTATTCACTAACATTTGTCGATTCTTTCAATTAAATTCCATATTTCTCGATATTTTTTCAACTCACCTGGGTATATAAAGCACCCGCTCAGCAATCACGAAGCCGACAGTGACCAGCAGGTTGCTGGCCGGCACGAACGGTATGACCAGCAGCAGTAACCCGATCACGGCTGGAGTGTGCCTCTGTACCTGTTTACACAGAAACATGTGCACTAAATAACTTTAATTGTAATAATATAATGATACCAATATTTAACTGTAATTATATTCAGATAGATCCGGTATTGAACTCGATGTTTGCTTCGGTGATCGTAACATGTCTGTGCGGATGTAGGTCTATGGATTCGGACAGCTCCGATAAGGAATTATTATACAATTTATGCAGTTGGTGTTTGTAGTAAATAAAATAAAATGATAAAAAACTGTTTTACTAAATTGGAATGCTGCTTTATTCATTGAACGCCGAAGACAGAGAGAGCTAGTGTTGCCAGCACTGGCTACTTAAAAATAACAGTAAATTAAGTGACATTGCTATCAACTACTTTCTAATAACACCCCTTCTCAATGTAACTAAATTTTACAAGAAACAAATAATAAACAAAAAATTATCCGGCATAAATTTACACCAAGTAATAACACCAACCTTATTCAAATGTCTTACAATTAACTCTTTGCTTAACGCTTTAGTTAACATGTCGGCTGGTTGATTATTAGTGTTAACATAATTAATACAAATTTTCTTACAATTCACTAGTTCTTTAACAAAATGGTACCGAATATCTACATGTTTTAACCTTTTTATAACATCTGTTTTAGCATTTATTATAGCCGATTGATTATCACAAAATATGTTAACAGGGCAAACACTTACATAATCAAAATCAGTTGTAAGTAAATTTTCAAGCCACAATGCATCAGAAGCAGCCATACTAATTGATACATATTCTGACTCCGTAGAAGACAAGCTAACAGAGGCCTGCTTCATATAGCACTACAATACAAGGCAATTTGACAGCATAAACATATAGCCTGAGGTAGACTTTCTATCTTTGATATCACCCCCCCAATCAGCATCACAATACCCTTCCACAATAATGTCTCTACGTTTATAAACTAACTTATAATTCACACTATATTTAACATATCTTAACACTCTCTTTAATGCACTTAGTAATTCATTGTTTGCACATGTTTGGTATCTGCTTAACATAGAAATCGGGAAACATAAATCAGGCCTAGTTCCTGATGCAGCATACATTAAACAACCTATAATTTGCCTGCATAACTTTTCCAAATTCTCATCAACAGGATCATTTTTATTTGCAAATATTTTAGTATTAAAATTAGGGTCCATAGGAGTTAACATATCTTTAGAGTTTTCCATATTGAATCTCTTATGTACATTTTCTAAATAGTTTGTTTGATCTAATTCAGTAATACCTGTTTCCAAATTTTGTTTTACATTAATGCCTAAAAATTAGATATTAGCCCCATGTCTTTCATTTCAAATTCTTTATGTAATAAAGCTTTAAGTTCTGAGATAAATATCTCGCTTGACCCAAAAAACAAAATATCATCGACGTACAATAAAATATACATCTTATCTTTACCATTAATTTTCTTAAATAAACATGAATCACAATTTGACCTCATGAACCCCTCTCTAGCTAACACTGAATTAAATTTAGTATTCCAACACTTGGGGGAACTCTTTAAACCATATAATGACTTCTTTAGCTTTACCACATTGTTTCCCTCAGAATAAGCCCCTTCTGGCAATCTAATATAAACTTCTCTATCTATGTCACCATACAAAAATGCCCCAGTGACGTCCATCTGATATATTGGTAAATTTAATTGAGTTGCTACTGCGACAAAGACTCTAAAAGTTGATAGCTTCACTACGGGAGCATAGATATCACTTAAATCAAAGACACTATTTTGCTCAAACCCCCTAGCTACTAGCCTAGCTTTGTACTGCTTAATGCCATCACTTTCCTTCACTTTAAAAACCCACTTACTGCTAATTACCTTTTCACCTGCCGGTGCGTTACAATAATCCCAAGTATTGTTATCTTGCAAAGTTTGTAATTCTCTATTAATTGCCTCACTCCACTTACTTGCATCTCTCCTTTTCATAGCTTCATCATATGTAATTGGCTCAGTCTCTTCACTAACCACATTGTTACATTTATAAAATGATGTTTGTTTCCTCACTCGTTTGTTTCTTTCATAATGATTTTGCAATGTTTCATCCAACTCTGATGACCCATCATCTGAGGGTACATATTCACTTTGGCATTCACTTTCCCCTGTAGATGAGTCCATAATAACAGTAGTATGAGTGCCACTTAGGTTATTCTGTGAATCTTCACATTCAGTTGTTTCATTCACTTTTACTGTTTGAGTAATATCTGGTATACTGTCTTGTACACATTGGCTATCCAAGTCTAACATAACTGGTAATTCAGTCTCTTCACTTACTTCTTGGTTTAGGAAAACAACATCTCTTTTCGTATCTATAAAATTTTTCTCCGGAAAGTATATTCTATATCCTTTCACATTTTCACCATAACCAATCATCAATACTTTTTCAGCCTTTTGATCCCATTTTTTCCTTCTTTCCTTTGGAATGTGTACATACACTGGAGTACCAAAAACTTTCAGATGATGAATATTAAAGCTTTTATTCATCCACAATTCATAAGGAGATCTTTCATCTTTGCCTTTTCCTGTCCTGTTTAGAACAAATGCAGCAGTGTTCACTGCTTCTGCCCATAATTTCTTTGGTAAATTCTTAGCGTGTAACATTGTCCTTGCTGCTTCGACAAGGGTTCTGTTTTCCCTTTCCGCTTTCCCATTTTGTTCGGGAGTGTAACTTACAGTTGTTTGGTGAATAATTCCTCGTTTAGAACACATTTCCATTATCTCTTTGTTTATAAATTCCAGTCCATTGTCTGTTCTAAATATCTTCACTTTGTTTCCAGTAATATTTTGTGCTTTGTTTATGAAGTTCTCAATACATCTTCTCGCTTCATCTTTTGCCTTGATAAAATACACTGATCTGTAGTTAGAATAATCATCTTTTATGAGAACAAAATATCTTGAACCTCCCACAGACGGTACTTCCATAGGCCCGCATGTGTCAGCATGTATAAGCTCACATACTCTGGTTGTCTTCGTTTCACTAGCACTGAAAGGCAAGCGGTGTATTTTGCCCTCCAGGCAGTTTTCACATTGGGGCATAGAAGATTGTTTAATTTGTATGTTATTTTTCTTCAACACTTTCTTCACATATTGAATATTTTGATGTGCCAGTCTTTCATGCCACTCCATTAAATCGTTTTTCACTACTTTTGCAACACTTGCAACCTCGTATTTATAACGAAAATCCATATAATAAGAGCTCTTATCTCTATTTGCAATTGCACAAACAACGCCATTTTTATAAAATTTACAGAGATTGACATCTGTCATTATGACATATCCCCGGTCAGCAGCACGATTAACAGAAAACAAGTTTGTTTTCAGATCGGGAACGAACAACACATTGTCTATTGTCGTATCAATCCATTCACTTCCGTTGTTGACTTGTGCCGCCACCTTGCCATAACCTAACACACTAATGACGGCGCCATTACCGACTATTACGGATTTTTGCGAAACACTTTTGTATGATGAAAATAATGACCGATCGCGACACATATGCTCACTCGCCCCTGAATCAACTAACCACTTTGATTGTTCGTAATTATTATACACTGAGTCCGATACTACAAACGCATTACTGATCTTCTTAGTGTCCTTTGACTTTCTAAATCGACACTGTGCCTTATAATGCCCAATTTTTCCGCAATAAAAGCACTTATTATCGTTCACCTTTTTTTCGCTATCTTTGTTACTTCTACACTCTGACTGAAGATATCCAGATTTGCCGCATCTATAACATTTCAAGTTTCTTTTAGCTACAAAAGCCGACGAGGACGAAATATCTCGGTTTTCTCCTGTCTTTTCTTTCACCCTCTCCTCCTCGACTAATAACCTGGACACTAAATTGTCAACCGTTTGCTTCTCGTCGGGTGCAGATTCCCACGCCGATACAAAATGCTTGAATTCCTCCGGCAAACTCATCAAAACTTTAGTTATGACGAACTTATCAGATATTTCCTCGCCCATTTGTTTCAACTGATTTTGTAATTCTTGGACTTGATATGATAATGATGATAAAAACACTGACATTTCTATTCCTTTTTCATATTTGTATTGAAAAAACCTCTGTTGTATTATATGGATACTGGTTTCTGACTTTTGTTCGTATACAGAAAGAAGCTTTCGCCACATTTCAGCCGAAGTTGTACATGATATAAGATGTAACATAACATCTTCCGACATTCTTGTAACTAGTAGTGTCTGAGCCTTAGCATCCTTCGACTCCCAGATAACTCGTTCTGCTGCACCTACAGGTTTTACAGTCCGGCCTTCTACAATATCCAGCCATCCCTGTCCCCTCAGTAGTACTGTAGTTTGAAATTTCCATATGTTCCAATTTCTTGCTCCTTCCAGTTTCATCACATTATGAGTGTTGTTTATTTCCATCTTGCCTCCCTTCCTTGCCTTGTGAATATATAGCAAGTAGTTCTCGGTTGAAAGAAAAAACGAAACGTGGTCGACAGACCTAACCTCACTTTTCGCCGATATTCAAGATGGTTAATTTATTGTCTTTTTGTGCACTTCAAAAAACTCCCTATTAATTACTATTACTTTTATACTAACAGGTGGCCATGACTGGGCCCATAACCTGTAGTAAATAAAATAAAATGATAAAAAACTGTTTTACTAAATTGGAATGCTGCTTTATTCATTGAACGCCGAAGACAGAGAGAGCTAGTGTTGCCAGCACTGGCTACTTAAAAATAACAGTAAAATAAGTGACATTGCTATCAACTACTTTCTAATAACAGTGTTGAGCCAATATATGCTCTAAATTCTTAAATAAAGGAACTAATTTTGAATAATTACTAAGTTGAAAAATAAACATTAACTCAGAACACGTCTGCTCACGACCGATGTGAATAATGTGTAGGTATGTGTAGTGTAATAGTTAATTAAAGTGTCAAATGCACAAATTTATAAAGTTTGTCGTGCTTTCCAAGTTTTATGGTCAATGCAAGGAATTTAATGAAAATTGAAAACGTGACGATGCATGTATACGATGAACACCTTGTCGTGAGAATGACCGAGTTACTTGACAGCTGGAGTATCATTCACGCTATAGGTACCTTTACGGACTTTCCTTTCACATAGAGCTTTAGCGACGTTAAAATAATCTTATTAAATAACATTATTCTACAGTGTAGTTCTCCTGTAATATAGAACGACACTTGGAATCCACGTAATATAGGGAATTGCTGCAGTCCGCCATACTCCGCTATGCTTGGCTGCAAGTACGGTTTTTAACAAGTCGGCCAAACATCCCAGATTAGTAAAAGACTATTTATCTAATACGTTTTGAAAATCGAAATAGACAGACTTATCAATATCTTAATGCTTATCTCACACCTGCGTGACAAAACTTCGGACGGCTTTGGTTCTAAAATGCGCTCAATTTAGCGTTTAAACTTTGAATTAAGTACGCTCCTTCAGCTGTACATACAAATTTATCTTCTTCCACCTCCTCTTTGGCATGTCAAATTATTGCCAGTCAAGCTATCGCCTAGCGTCTATAAACATAATTATTCACGACAGAACCAATTCAAATTTCGAACGCTAATTTATATCGCAGTTAGTACCACAGCTACTCGAAGCTTCATCGCAAAGGTGTGGGGGAAGCATGAAACAAACCTCCAAGTCGGCAATACATCTATAGCACAGGAGCAACAGTGCTCCAAAAGCAGCGCAAGTGAGCAGGTTCCTCGGATCCCAGCCGCTGGTGATGAGTGGCATGGAGCCCATCTGCCAGTCGTGGCTGAGCGTCCACGGACAGAGAAGCAGCCACCAGTTGAACGCGGCCAAGTAGCAGAACGTCATCAGTCTGGAAAGAAGCAGGTTTAAACAACAAACTGTATGGAAAACAAGCAAACCTTAATTCAGTTTGAGTTCGCATTCATCACAGAAACATCTGCCCCAACTAGGATTTGAACACGGGACTTCTCGAGTAGGCAGCACCTTGAAACCCGGCGTACAAACCACTCGGTCACGGATGTCGCCGAGTAGCTTTACTTTTATAATCGTAGTGCATTTTAAAAATGAAGATCAGATAACCGATAAAAGTGCCGCTCGCGTGTCGAATATAGCTCATAATGATACGAGTTCAATATAAATTGTTCATGATTTCACGAACTAATTAGTATGAATAGATAAAAACGAGGACATGCGCCCACACAAACTGTTACAGTTTAATGAACAAGTACATTACTCAAACGGGGTTACGTTATCGGTTTTGAATACTATATGTAAATATGTATATTGATTACCTTGAAAGTTATTTATGACATAGATTATGTTTAACGATTACAGGTAAACGGTTGCTAACTTAGATTGGTACTGCTGACTGTTAAAATAGATGAAGGATATAAAATATAAATATTTTCATTTATGCTTTACATTCCCAATAAGAACCAATGGTGCATTTGTCGACACTATTTCTTTCGATATCGCTAACGATTGAATAGATTAATAATAATAAAATTTGCCACTCTATGTTTTGGAAAGAACGTTAAATCACACCCTGCTACCCTGAAGCACCTTCAGCCACAAACACACCATTTAGCTTCAGCCTCAGACACACCAGCATATTCAGTATCAGACACTTCAGCAGCTTCAGCCTCAGATACATCAGCAAATTCAGTTTCATACACACCAGCAGCTTCAGTCTCATACACACCAGCAGCTTTAGCCTCAGACACGCCAGCAGCTTCAGGGAATCCAACACATTGACTCTATCACAGGCAAACCCGTGCATTTTTCGTAGCTCTTACCTGACAAAGAAGCTCGGATGGAAAGCAGCTGGGTTGTCCTGCGGTGAGAAGGTTGGCCAAGTGCCCTGAAGTAGCGCCAACCTCAAACAAACCAGCAGCGCCAGGGACACCAACACTTTTACGGTTCTCACTGACAAACCAGTACATTTCTTCTCTATTTTCAAGGCGCAGACCGATCTAAGAAACAAACTCATTCTTGAATGTCAAGCAATTTACGAGTACTCTAACACATTTGTTGTTGTATTGATATTTTCAAAGGTTATAATTTCCATGGCAGACAAGTAAGACAGGAAGTATCAAATGTGGGAGGGCAGGCCAGAGAATGTCTTTAAACTGTTTTAGGTGAAGGGAACACTTCTGTTTCAGTCTTACAAATTACTTTTCATCCCACCACCTCGGAAAGTGTAATTTTGCGCTTCGAAATCTGGCTGGAAAATTCTATTTTATTCGCTTGAGCGGCAAAGTAGATTTGAATTTAGAACATCACATATAATGAGTACTCAATATAATTGTAAATTCAAAACGTCATTAAACCTATTTAATGTAACCTCTATGGTGCCAAATTTATGATTAGAACTTTTTAAATTGTGAAAAAATTTAAATTTGGAACCTTCTTGGTTTCTTTGTTTTATTTGCGTGCTTCGCGCCATTCTAGTTTTTCACGTTTTATTGCTTAAATATTTTGTCATTATAAATTGTTTTCTTTTTCATTTTGTCATTTCCTCGCTGAGGTGGGATGAAAAGTTACGTATTGCACTCGAGTGGAAAGATTTTTCACCTTGTGCTCGTTTGTTTCCCTCGCTGACGCTCAGGATTCTAATTTAGAATCACTCGCTGCGCTCGTGATTCAACTTTAGAATCCTTCGCTTGCTCGGTCATCCAAATCGAGCACGCGGTTAAAAAGGAACTTTCCACTCTTGTATAATAAATAACTATTATAGTCTCAGCGGCATGTCGCTAAGATGTTACAGAAATAGTTAATAGAAGTTCATAAAGTTTCTTTTAAAATAAATTCCAGCTTTTTTAGTTAGTTTTACGTAGTTATACCAAGATTGGTATAATTGAATTTAAAACTAAAAAGTTAATCGCTTTTGAAATTCTGTATCGAGTTTGAAAGTCATAAATTGTTTATGCCCATATTAACGTAGAAAATCAGAATTTCTCTAAAACCATTTTAATTGATGATATCACTATTTTAAGTATTTTGGGTGAAATTACTAGGTACCGAACAATTTAAATTAATAAAGAGATTTTGAGTACTTGGATTAACTTTTTGGATTAAATAATTACTTGGATTAAATTAAGTTACTAACTTTATAATACTCTTTTCAGAGGTAAGATGTTCGCCCTAAAATTCGTTAGAGCATAAACTAAAGTGAAATTTTTAGATGAAAAATGTGGGTTCATGTATTATGCTTATCGTTAAAATACTAGGTTTTTATACTGAAAGAATTTTTCAACTCGGCCCTTAGTATGAGACTGGACCCAAAAAAAGGGCTAATAAAACTTTCCGCTTGGCTACTAACCTCTTTACAAACGGCCAACATCTATAGAAATCAAAGGCCAAGTTGAGCAGGAGTATTGTAACCCCCGTCTCTTTGGCGAGCATACTCAGAGCCCCGAGGGCAATACTCAGCCATACACACTTCTTACTGCTGGAAGGTCTGTAACAAATGGTCACTTTACACAGTAATGATAATAATCAGTGACGGTTCGATGACTTCTAATATCGGAACTTGGTTATCCATAAATTGCTATATTACTTGATTTAGGGTTCATTAGCCTCTCGGAGTCCGATCGACATCTAGTCTTTCCCAGTATTTATAAAACATGATTATGGCAATTTTCCTTATTTACCCAATATTCCAAAATAGAATGATTACCGAACAGTTTATTTTTTATTACATATTAACAGGAGCGGATTTAGAACTGGTAGGGCCCGAGGCTGAAATTGCTGCGGGGCCCATTTAAGGATATGAAAATCATCCGATTCCCAATCGATCTAAATTCCTCTTTTATAAATAATATGCATTTAAGTGAATGTTAGCTAATAAAACACGTTATGTTACTGTCTAAGCAACTGTATTTGTTGCATTATTGACAAGAACTTTTCCTATGTAGAAGAGAGGGATACATTTACAGGTCAAACTTATTTTCAGTATTTCATGGGATGACAGTGCGGGACCCGCGGCTGTAGCCCCACAAGCCCCTGCGCAAATCTGCTCCTGCATATTACTTACTATGTCAATGAAATATGCTCATCACTTTAGAATTGTATGTAACCCTTAATCCCAACTGAAACTAATGTAGTTCTTGAAAAACATTATATTTACGTAACTTAAAAGACTCGGAATTGGAGCGTCCGTCTAGGGAAGTTGCCTCGACATTACAGAAGATCACAATAAACACCACCTTTTGGTGGTGTTGTGTTTCTATCGGTGAGTAAGATTCCAGAAGGCTCCAATGGGTAGGGGATTGGGTCAGGGTAGGCAACTGCGCGAGTGATAGTTTTGGTAAAGCAAGCGTTTATAGTCTATAATGACCGTTTACTATCAGGCTAAAATACCTAATAATGTTAGCAAATACTGATTTATTTTAATACTGCATACTTGGTAAGTTTTACAAAAAGCGAGGTATCAGAAGCTTACTGAACTTCGTCCACCCACCTGTGGTATACGAGAAGTGATGACAAGAAGAATATACACGCTAGAACATCGGCTCTGCCAACTACTCCAGTTACCTGTACAAAAATATACAGAATCAGTACAGTAATGGACTGAGAGACGCTATAAGGTAGACCGCTTAACTGAATCCTCGCCTGCAGGGTAAAGGGTGTGGGGGAGGATGAGAACGGGGACCGTGAGGGGTGCGGGCGGCAGGCAATTTCTTGTCCAAATTACAAGCGCCCGCCGACCGCACTTCTCACGGTCTCCGTTCTCGTCCTCCTCCACACCCTTTACCCCGCAGGCGATGACTCAGTTAAGCGGTATAGTTACTAGTTTTATATTAAAAAATAAAATAAAAAAAATACATAAAGAAGGGAAGGTTGTTTCTCATGAGTCAGAATGATTGTGGTAACATTACTATTTCCCATTTTCAAAACAAAAATGCTTTAACCATTAGAATCAGAGTCATCCGGACTATATTATATATTAATATTAATTAATATTATTATTATTATTAATTATTATTAATTTTATTAATTTTATTAATATTATAAATGCGAAAGTAACTCTGTCTGTCTGTCTGTCTGTTACTCTTTCACGCCAAAACTACTGAACGGATTTGAATGAAATTTGGTATACAGATGGTCTAGACCGTGAGAAAGGACATAGGCTACTTTTTATTGCGAAAAGGGGGTTGTAAAGGGTTAAAAGGGGGGGGGGGGGGTGAAAAGTTGTATGGGATTGGGAACTACGAAGCCAAACTTTTTGTATACAAAATCTTAACCACTGAACCTAGGAACATGATATTTAGGAGCTTTGGGTGTATCAAGTTAAAAAAAAATTGGCTTTTGAAGTTAAAGTTCCTTTTAACGAATACTCTGCATCGCCGCCGCTGCCGTGGGTCATCGGTCGTCGTCGCGCACATTCGCCGAAGTGTGGCGGCAGGTTATTGTTTCGTATAATTTTTTAAGTAAGTATTTTTTATCAGTTAGGTCCTGTAAATTAATTTTGTACATACTTAATATTTCAGGATCTTTTAGTTCATAGTTAATAGACGAAGATAGTTTCCGTTACTTTAAAACAAATCCAATTTGCTTTTATTTCCTTTTTTGAATTAATATAATAAGTCGTAGTAGGTGTAAATCTAACCTAACCTACTTACCTCCTACTCTTTTTATGCATTGGTTGTAAATAAGTATTGATAATTTAATTTCTTAGTTTCTTTTTTTCCATTTAAACGTGACTTAAACACATCGCCGTGCGGTGAGCGCATCATTTTTCCTACGTAGCTGCTTATTAAAGGTTTTTTTATGATAATAAATCTCAATCTGTACATCTGTTTTGTTAGATTAATTTTATTTTTGTTTTTCTACAATGACTTGCAAACGAAAGTCCAATTTAGCTAATAGCTCTAGCAGAGCTCGGGCTGCTAAACTTACTAGATCTCTGGAATCGGAAAAGGATTCACAGATCCGTCGGACTTTAGATGCCGAGCGTCACGCAACTCAAAGGGCTGCTGAAACTTTTGAGCAAACGCAGACCCGTCATAATTTAGACGCTGATCGTCATGCTGCACAAAGGGCTGCAGAGGTTTTTCAGCAGACCCAAGCTCGCCAAGTCTTGGATGCCGAGCGTCACGCGGCTCAAAGAGCTGCAGAGACCTCTCAGCAGATCCAAGCTCGCCAAGTCTTGGATGCCGAGCGTCACGCGGCTCAAAGATCTGCTGAGACCTATCAGCAGACCCAAGCTCGCCAAATCTTAGATGCTGAGCGTCAAGCTTCGTACATAGCCGCAGAGACCTCCGAAAAAACACGTAGACGACGTTTAATTAATTCCGAGCGGCAAGCAGAAAGGACACGTACGTTTACGATAAATACGTGGGAAGCATTTGCCGATGCTGCTTTTGATTATGATCCGTTAATTGATTACTTTAATCATCGATTAGTCCTCATAGGTAGAATGGGCAATAAATGCAGACACTGTGAGGCACGCAAGTGGAAGGAAGAGACCCCAGGTATGGGCTGTTCTGGAGGCAAAGTATCAGTACCAACGCTTGGTGACCCCGACGAGCCACTCAAATCCTTACTTCTATATGACAGCAATGAATCGCGGCGATTTTTAAACAGGATAAGAACGTATAATTCTTGCTTTCAAATGACATCATTTGGTGTGGGTAATGAGGTCATCATGCCTGGATTTTCACCTACATTTACGGTACAAGGGCAAGTTTATCATAGGATTGGCTATTTGCTTCCCACAAATAATGGTCAACAAAAATTTCAACAGATTTATTTTATGGGAGACGAAAATAGCGAGTTTGACTGCAGATGTCAAAATATTGAAGGAGTTGAAAGGAACATTGTTTTAAAAAATTTAAAGAATGTTGCACGAACATAATAACCTCATAACACCTTCAAAACAGTGCCAGGGGAAAATTACAAATTAGTTATACACCCAGATCGTACGATGATTCTTATTAAATAATAAAAATGCTACCCAAAGATACTATTCCACGCGGACGAAGTCGGGGGTAACAGCTAGTAACGTTAATATTGCATGTGACATTGTCATAATTTGTTTAAACTAATTTAAGAAAGTAAATCTTCACTTAGATTGCAGTCTATAAACTTCTAAGGCCGTTAAAGCCTTTTAAGCTTTGCGATGAAATATTACAAAACTTCCGTACAAATACAAGGTTGGAACGGATGTTATTACAGTTACGGACTTGTTTCTACAAGATAATAATACTTTTTGTAAATTTCTTTAATATTTCATTTACCAATAGGCATAGCCGACTGTCATGATTTATTTAAAGTATTTTTTTTTGTCTTGTACCTAGTACTTCTAAAAATATGTAAGTTAGAGGTATGAAATTATGACTAGGGGGCCAATCGCCTAACGAGATTGCTATGGCTATCTCTATCGCTTATGATATCCTTTTTTTATTTCTGACCGCTGAAGGTTTTGAAATGCCTTGAGCTCGTTTTTATTCTTTTGCGTTGGTAATAACAATATTAAATAAAATGAGCGTAAGGTATTTAAAAACCGTCGGCGGTCAGAAATAACAAAATGAAATCGTAAGCGATTGCCATAGCAATCCCGTTAGGCAAATGACGCCCAGGAACAGAACCAGGATCTCAGAAATGAAGTCATTCTTGTAAGAGGTAGGTAGGTAATAGCAGATTTTCCACTCGAACTGGAGCGGCTCTCTTGGAAGGAACACACACAGAAATCACAAAATAGATAGGCACTTAGTACAGAAAGCCATCGACATACAAAGTGCGCCTATGACACGCGTCTCTAAACTTTTTTGTGCAAATGTGGATGTTGTTTGATTTCAACATTAAACGGTGAAATTTGTTTTTTTTTTTCATTTTCACTTAATATAACAACATCATTTAAATGCTTTAATTATTATTGGCTTGTATTTCCATTCTTCCTGTTTCAAGGGGCAAGGGCAAGCGCCCGCGGCCAGCCGCGTGCAGACCGCGCTGTGATCGCTCGTCTTTGCATACTTGCTTACATTGCAAACGAATACAACTGGCTGCAGCCTGTGGCTGCAAGCTGTGTGTTCAACATGTCTGTGAGACCTCATGTGGTGGGAACTTTAATATGCTGATATTCACCGCCTCTAGTGTACGGGGTGTACAGCGAACAATAGCGTGGCAAAGACTCGCTGCAGCCGCGCTATTGTCACGCACACACGGACCACTAAAGCTATGTTGCCAGCAAATACAACTGGCCGTCACCGCCACGGTAGGCTGCGTCTTTCTGTGAGATCCAATACTCAAGTGGTAGGGATGCTAATATGCTAATGATACCCATGTACTCTGTGTGTACGGCGTGTACAGCGAACAATAGCGCCGCAAGCGCTGCAAAGGGCCGCTGCAGCCATGCTACTGTCACACAGGCATGGACCACCAGAGCGCAGCACGCCGCGTGCAGCGCTATGTTGCAAGCAAATACAACTGACCGTCATCATCACCGTCCGCTGCGCCTGTCTATGAGACCCAATACTCATGTGGTAGGGATGCTAATATGCTAATGATACCCACGGCCTCTGTGTGTACGGGATGTACAGCGAACAATAGCGCCGCAAGCGTTGCAAAGGGCCGCTGCAGCCATGCCACTGTCACACAGGCACGGACCACCAGAGCGCAGCACGCCGCGTGCAGCATCATGTTGCAAGCAAATACAACTGACCGTCATCACCACCGTCTACTGCGCCTGTCTGTGAGACCCAATACTCATGTGGTGGAGACGTTTATATGCTGATGGTACCCACCGCCTCTGTGTGTACGGGGTGTACAGCAAACAATAGCGCCGCGAGCGCTGCAAAGGGTCGCTGTAGCCGCGCCACAGTCACGCACGCGCGAACCACCAGAGCGCAGCACGCCGCGTGCAGCGCTACGTTGCAAGCGTGCCACCACCACGGCCGGAGACCGGCGAGTGCGTGATTTAGTCTGTAACAATGAGAATATGATCTCTTTAGCGATAACGTTTCAAAATTTCCAAATAAGAAAATTTAAAAAACTTTTTGTTTGAGTAAATTCCACATGAAGTGATATTTTGGTACAACTTCATCATGTTTATTCTTAGTACCTTCATAATTATTCTAAAGTAAATCAAAATTTTAAATCTCTTCTAATTTACGGCCAGTTTCAATTATTAACCTCCAGTAAAAGGTAAAGATAATTTGGTCCCTTTCTTAGTAACAGTTATTATAGTCTAAATAATTAAAATAATTTAGCAACAAAGCTCGAGTAGGTATTTTATTATTTGCTTTTGTTATAGGCCTATCTTTTACTAGAGTCGAATTATTGAAGGCCTTCACAAGTTCATCTTAATGTGGGATTACCTAATTGTTTAAATGAAATACCGATACTGACTTGTGAGTGAATTGTATAGAGTTTATTTACTTTCTGTTATTCTTATCCGGGTGCCTGAATTATCTATTATATTATGTAAGTACACAAAACTAACTTAATGCGACTATTCAAATATTTAACTTAGCGTTTCTATAATAGACATACGCTATTTGAATAATCTCATTCATTCTTTCAGTTGATAAATTAAACCTACAGTCACATCGTCATTCGCCAACATTAGTCGAACATACCCGCGGCAACAGCGGCGGTTAACCGCACTGTCATTTTTGTTTACATCAAAACTTTCGACTTAATAATAAACCACAAAACATGGCGGCGGGTGATTAATGTGGTTGTCGGCGTCGCAGAGAGGCTTCCATTCACGACTCATTAAACTTTAAACTTGGCCTAACTTTCCCCCGGCTTTTAAATAATAACGTCAGGTGACCCTGGCCGTATTTGTATTCGATAAAGTATGACAATACCGACCTACGACGGCGGCATGAAGGTTAAAACCTTTATCCTGAATTTTGAAACACAATAATGTGGAGAATCAAAATATGGACCTGTTCCTCTTTGATTCCGACGAGATGTAGGATTTCCCGGTATATTTGAAGCACTCGTCTGGGAAAAGTAGTTTTCACTAAAAGATCGTAGCAGACATATCATCTCGAGCCGTTCAGTATTATTTGTATGAAACTCCTTATTGCAAGCATATTAGACGTAATTGTAACGGAATCTCCTCGTTGTTACGATTCCGATTAGTGTGCGGTCGGCCAAACAATTATTATATTTCTAAGAATAATATGCCAAAAAAACAATCCACCAGATAGCCCCAAAATAACAGTCGGGTAGATTTATCACAAAGAAGGCATTCTGGCATTATGTTGTGTTATCAGCTGGATTGGAGATTGAATTTAGAGTAACAGAGTGACGGTAGCTAATGCAGCATCAGATTTTGACAATTGGGAACTAATTCCACTCACTGGCAAGAAGAAGTTTTCTACGTCTTCTATTTCCATTCTTTTAAATAAAAAGACAATTCAAAACTTGTCAGATTAAAAATATTCAAAAACCAAACCATTGTCAGTGATTTGCCAGTTCAAACTGAGAACTAGACCAAGGCACAGCTTATCACTTTTGATATCCGACTGTCAATTATTTTCTAAGCGGCTCCCTGAAATTAGCAAATGTGACTTGGCACCTATTCTATTCCAAAAAAACAATTCAAAACTAGTCAGCGCAAAAAATATTCTAAAACCAAACTAGTCTCTGTGATTTGCCATTTCAAATTGAGAATTAGACCGAAGCGCAGTTTATTAAATAAAATTAACTTGATAAGTTTAATATCCGACTACCAATTGTTTTCGAAGCGGTTCCCCGAAATTAGCAAATGTGGCCTGGGACTCGGCACCAGTCAAGCACGAAGGAGCGACGGCTAAATTAGCCCGAACAAGTAATGTTGACATACCCGCATACGTTGAAAATTAGACGGTTCGTTTGGAGCTCTTTGAAGCGGCGGCAGACGGAAAATAGAGCCCTAAGAAGATCAAGCATTAAGGTTATAAATTCTGTGAAAATTAAATTTA